GGGGTTGGAGCACACCTGGGCACACCTGGGTGAGGTGGGTGGTACCTGCTCGACGCCAGGATGGAGGTGAGGAAGTGCTGCAACCACCCCGACCTCATCAACGGTGAGGATTTTGGGGGGATTTCAGGGGGTTTTGGGGGTTTTTGGGGGGATTGGGGCGCACCTGGGCACACCTGGGCGCACCTGGGCACACCTGGATACACCTGGAGACCTTGTTGATCACCTGGAGGTCACCTGGAGAAGATGTTGATGGTCATCTGCAGATGGTCTTGGAGACCCCACCGAGGTCTTGGCGGTTACCTGGAGACCTTGGTGGTCATCTGGAGATCTTGGGGGTCACCTGGAGAAGATGTTGATGGTCACCTGCAGAAGATCTTGGTGACCGCACTGACCTCTTGGTGGTCACCTGTGGGTCATGATGGCCACTTGGACATCTTGATGGCCACCTAGTGGTCTTGGTGTCCCCCTGAGGGTCTTGGTGGTCACTTGGTGGTCACCTGGAGAGGTCTTGGGGAGCGCAGTGAGGTCTTGGTGTCCCCTCAAGGGTTTTGGTGGTCACCTGGACACCTGGGTGTCCCCCTGAGGGTCTCAGTGTTCCCCTGGGGGTCTTGGTGGTCACCTGGAGAAGGTCTTGGTGCTCACTTGGTTGTCAACCTGAAGACCTTGGTGTTCACCTGGTGGTCACGTGGATAAGACTGAAGGTCACCTGCAGAAGATCTTGGTGGCCAGACCAAGCTTTCGGTGGTCACCTGTGGGTCTTGGTGTCCCCACGAGGGTTCAGGTTCACCTGCAGGCCCTGATGGTCACCTGGTGGTCACCTGGGGGGTCTTAGTGTCCCCTTGAGGGTCTTGGTGGTGACCTGGTGGTCACCTGGGGAAGGCGTTGATGGTCACCAGCAGATGGTCTTGGTGGCCAGAGTGAGGTCTTGATGGTCACCTGGACACCTTGGTGGTCACTTGGGGGTCACCTGCAGAAGGGCTTGGCGACCACGCCGAGGTCTCGGTGGTCACCTGTGGGTCTTGGTGGCCCACGAGGGTTCAGGTTCACCTGCAGGCGCTGGTGGTCATCTGGAGGTCTTGGTGGTCACCTGGTGGTCACCTGGAGAAGGTCTTGTTGGTCACTTGGTGGTCACCTGCAGGTCTTGCTGACCACCCCGTGGTCTTGGTGGTCACTTGTGGGTCATGATGGTCATTTGGACACCTTGGTGGTCACCTGGGGGTCTCGGTGGTCACCTGGTGGTCACCTGGAGACCTTGGTGGTCAACGCCTTGGTGGTCACCTGGTGGTCACCTGGACACCTCAGTGTCCCCCTGAGGGTCTTGGTGGTCACCTGCAGAAGATCTTGGTGGCCAGACCAAGCTTTCAGTGGTCACCTGTGGGTCTTGGTGTCCCCACGAGGGTTCAGGTTCACCTGCAGGCCCTGATGGTCACCTGGTGGTCACCTGGTGGTCACTCCTTGTTCCCATTCCAGGAGCAGAGGAGAAGATCCTGTCGGAGCTTCGCGAGGGGCGTCCCCCGGGAGCTCTGCCCCCCGACCTCCACCTGCAGGCCCTGGTGGTCACCTGGTGGTCACCTGGTGGTCACCTGTCCCCCTCATTGTCCCCTTTTCCAGGAGCAGAGGAGAAGATCCTGTCGGAGCTCCGCGAGGGGCGTCCCCCGGGAGCTCTGCCCCCCGACCTCCACCTGCAGGCCCTGGTTCGCTCGGCGGGGAAACTGGTGCTGCTGGACAAGCTGCTGCCCAAACTGCGCCAGGGGGGGCACAAGGTGCTGGTCTTCTCCCAGATGGTTCGGTGCCTCGACATCCTCGAGGACTACCTCATACACAAGAGGTGGGACAACGTTTTTGGCTCAAATTTAGTCCCAAATTTCTCCTGGTTTTGGCCCCAGTTTAGTCCCAAATTTTTTCCGTTTTTGGTCTGAATTTAGTCCTAAATTTCTCCCATTTTTTGCCCGAATTTAGTTCCAAATTTCTCCTATTTTTGGCCAAGTTTCACCCAAATTTCACTTTTTTTTCCCCTAGATGTCACCCACTTCCCCCAATTTTTCACCCATTTTTTGCTTCAAATTTCTCTCATTTTTAGCCCAAATTTAGTCCCAAATTTCTCCCATTTTTTTGCCCCAATTTTCTCCCATTTTTGGCCCAAATTTAGTCCCACATTTGTCTCATTTTTTGCCCGAATTTAGTCCCCAATTTCTCCCATTTTTGGCCCCAAATTTCTCTCATTTTTGCTTCAAATTGAGTCCCAAATTTCTCCCATTTTGGCCCGAATTTAGTCCCAAATTTCTCCCGTTTTTTACCCCAAATTTCTCCATTTTTGCCCCAAAATTTCACCCAAATTCCTTCCATTTTTTTCCCCAAATTCTTCCATTTTTCCCCCAGATTTCCCCCAAATTCCTCCCAATTTTTTCCCCCAAATTCCTCCCTTTTCACCCAAGTTCCCCCCCCAGGTACCTGTACGAGTGCATCGACGGGCGCAAATCTCACCCAAATTTTTCCCATTTTTCACCCAAATTTCTCCCATTTTTTCTCCAAATTCCCCAGAAATTCCTCCCGATATTTTCCCCCTAATTCCTCCATTTTCACCCCAAATTTCACCCAAATTCTCCCAATGTTTTTCACCCAAATTCATCCATTTTTACCCCAAATTCCCCCCAAATTCCCCCCAAATTCCTCCCAATTTTTTTCACCCAAATTCCTCCGTTTTTCCCCCAAATTTCCCCCAAATTCTCCCAATTTTTTTCACCCAAATTTCTCTGTTTTTCCCCAAATTTCACCCAAATTCCTCCCAATGTTTTTCACCTAAATTCCTCCATTTTCACCCCAAATTTCACCTAAATTCTCCCAATTTTTTTCACCCAAATTTCTGCACTTTTTCCCCTAAATTTCCCCCAAATTTCTCCCAATTTTTTGCCCCGAATTTCTCCATTTTTGGCCCAAATTTAACCCCAAATTTCACCCAAATTTTTCCTGTTTTTCACCCAAATTTCTCCCATTTTTGCCCGAAATTTCTCCCAATTTTTTTCACCCAAATTTCTCCATTTTTCCCCCAAATTCCTCCCATTTTTCCCCCAAATCCCCCCATTTTCACCCAAATCTCCCCCCAGGTACCTGTACGAGCGCATCGACGGGCGTGTGCGGGGGAACCTTCGCCAGGCCGCCATCGACCGTTTCAGCCGCCCCGACTCGGATCGTTTCGTGTTCCTGCTCTGCACCCGCGCCGGGGGCCTCGGCATCAACCTCACGGCCGCCGACACCTGCATCATCTTCGACTCCGACTGGAACCCACAGAACGACCTCCAGGTGCGACACACATTCCTCCCCGTTTTGGACAAATTTCACCCAAATTTTGCCTATTTTTGGCCTGAATTTAGTCCCAAATTTCTCTCATTTTTGGCCAAAGTTTAGTCCCAAATTTCTTCCATTTTTTGCCCCAAATTTCTCCCATTTTTGGCCCCAAATTTCTCC